TCTGACTTTGGAGCTTGGGCTCTTAACTGTTATGAGCAATGCTGGTTCCCCAGCCCTGCCCCGATAGTTAGACAGGGAAGAAGGACCCCTGGGGATGCTCCTATAGGGTTGAGTGGGAGACACTCAGTTGCTGGTCCACCCAGCACATAAAGAGGATTCGAATGTGGGGCAAGATTGTTTTGGTAAGCTTTAAAAGGCTGATTCATATACTGCACAATAGACAGCGGTGAGTTCTGAAAATAAAGAGGGGGCAGTCCCAGTGGCTTGAGATGTTCCTAGTCATTGTGTAGAGAGAGCGACTCGTTTCTAGACTAGAAACCTGGCACCATTTCTCAGCCCTAATTTGGACTGACGGTGACTGGGTTGGCCTCCCTCACAGCTTCAGGACCATTGCTCCTGGAACTACCTGTCTGGCTGAAGAAGATGACATCGAAGAATGCAAAGGAGGACTGTGCTTTGGCAAAAGGTAGAGGAGTAGTTAAGCTCCTCCTCCCAGCTTTGGGAGGCCATAAAATCACATGCTGTACTTTTCCCTATTCTGTCTCCTCTGTTGCCAGGATGCAGACCATTGGCATCTTCACCATGCTGTCATGTGTCAGTAAGGAGAAGCTGGGCCTTGCTGAGGCAATAAACAACCTAAAACATCTCCAAAGCTTAAGACAACACATTTTATTTCTTGCTTATGCTCCATGTCCATTTGAGTCAGCAGAGGGCTCTGCTCATTGGAGTCACTCAGGGACCTGTGTTGACGGAGCAGCCGCCATCTTGGTCTTGCTAAGCCAGAGTTGGAACAAGAGTCCTGGGGTGTCTTGCACCAGCAATTAAGTGCTCCTCCCTTGAGCACCTCAGATCTCATTGGCCAGAACTAGTCACATGGCCCACCCAACCCTAAGTAAGCCAGGAAGTACAATCCACATCTACCATGTGCCAAGAGGGAGGAAAACCAGAAATACTTGATGAATGGCAGTGATGACCATCACATTCAGAAAAGCTCTTTGGAGCCCTATTGTAAATTCAAATGATTACTCATTTAAATTAGATTACTAAAATCAAAATGATTGGGGGAAGAGAAGCCTACAAAAGTAGCTTCCACATTCCCTTTACCTAAACGCAAAAATTATTCTTATTTTATGTAGACTCTGAGGCTGTTCATGCTATTTCCAAATTATGCTGCATAATTTGGAGTTCTGTGTTTTTCACTGACCATTGCAAGCACATATTCTCTTTAGCCACCTAGTCTTCTCTGTGAGAGCTGAATGCCTCTGAGGTGGTACATCACCACAGACTGGTTCATTTGTCCATGTGCACATTTTCAGTTGCTCCCAGCCCTGTCCTCTAATAACCAATGCTACTATAAACACCTCACCGAGTGTCATATTTTTCTTCTCTGAATTACTTCCTATGAATAATTTCCCAGGTGTGAGATTATGCAGCCAAAGAATGTGAACATTTTAATGGCACCTGTTAAGTATCTCCAGGTCACTCCTGGAGCCTTCTTACAGGTAATTGCTTGCTCTCAGACCTTGGAGCTGAAGGCAGGTCAATGGTGAAAAGTTATAATTATATTCATTTCCTTTCCCTGTAATGCCAGTGACCCAGCCTGAGGACAATGAGGGGTAATGTGTTGTGGAGGTACTTAGTACGTGACCACTCTGGATCGCTTCTCTTTCCTCTCTCACCCAAGCCCGTGATGATTTTTAAATTTCGACAAATCTGGACTCAACGTTCCAAGCTAAGCTACCTCTTAGCTAAAGTCTTGGGTCAGTGTAAACATTTTTGAACTGGGCATGGCCCCCCTTTAACAATGTGTAATCTGTGAGTTTTAAGCTGACCAGTGAAGGGTGATGGCTCAGACTTTACAAAATGAAGCCTAAATTACTTAAATAGTAAGTGGTCCTTGGGGCCCTGGGAGGTTTATTTGCAGATGACAGATGACCAAGGGTGGGGGATAGAGGAGCATCCAAGGACAATTAAGGCTGAAGCTCTGGGATAAAGTGCCCACTACAGACTCATCAGGAATGAAGACAAAGCATAAATAACCCCGGCAGAAAAGAACATAAAGAGGGGAGGGCTGGCCCCTTTATGGTGAGCACCCATGAACACTCCAAGCAGCAATCTGCTCATTAGAGTGCTGGATAAAGACTATTTCTGCCCCGGAAGTAATCATATTTCTCAAGCAATACAGGAACCGGATAAAGACTCAGGCTGTTTATACTTAACTGCCCCCAAAGCAAATGAGAAGAAAATGGCAATGAACTATTTTTCTTCTGTTCATCTTCAGCTCTCTGTGATTAAAGAGGACAAATTTAGACTACAACCCCATCAACAACTCTGTAATTAATCTTACTTTTCAATAACAACAACTATTCCCTTTGCTGGTTCTCTGCAGCCCCATGCAGCGTGGAGGGGTCATAGATAATACCTTTTGAGCCTTGATTATCCTTTCTGGGCTGAGTCACAGAGCAGGAATATGTTTACATTTGCACTGGGGAGTCAGAGAGGAAGGAGAAGTCGAGGCTCTGAATGAAAATACTGCATTTGTGGCAGGTGCTATGAAGAGTTAGAGGCACAAAGGCTGTTGTTATCTGCTCCCGTCATTGCATAGAATGTGGGGTATCTTTAAGATGTCATTTTTGAAGAGAAACGCTATTTTCAATAGCGATTATGAAAACTTCAAGGGGTACATTGGAGCCAGGCTAAGTGACTCCCGGAAGCAGGTTGGGAAATACTGAAAACGTGCCAGGATGTTACTGAACCATTGCGAGGTGAAGAGTCTGAGTACAGCACTCGGTGGAGGGCATAGTCAGGTAAGGAAACTTTCTTCAAGTTAGCCTGGACATTGGTCAGTCTGCAAATGACTCATAAGGAAGGCCAACCAACCAACAAATCAACCAACCAACCAACCAACCAACCAACCAACCAATCAACCAACCAACCAACCACCAACCAACCAACCAACCAACCAACCAACCAACCAACCGACCAACCAACCGACCGACCAGTTGCTATCAAGTTGATTTTGACTCATGGCGACCTCGTGTGTTTCAGAGTAGAGCTGTGTTCCATGAGGTTTTCATAGCTGATCTTTCAGAAGTAGATTGCCAGGCCTTTCTCCCAGGCAACTGAACCATCAACCTTTCGGTTAGTAGCTGAGCACTTAACCACTTGCGCCAACTAGGGACTCCTAAAGGAGGCAGGACTCCAAAATACATTCCAAAGGGGACTTCTTTGCAAGGCTGGAACATTCCCTGAGTTATCCCCGAGGGATTGATGCTCCAGGAAGGCTTAGAGAGGAAGGCGAGAAGAGGGAGGCAGGAGGACTGTGCTGCAGCCCTGCGTTCTGAAATTCTAGTCTGCTTACCAATAAAATCAACTCATTTTATCGCTTTTAAAATGCCCTTGGAAACTGATCCTATGTTTCCACCCAACTAATTTCTTTTGTTAACATATGCAAATGTGACTCTTAATGAAAGCAGGGTTTGTTTTCTGGACTCAGGAGTTGAACATTCAAGTGGGGTTGAGGAGGAGAACTTGGCTTTTTGTGCCTGCATGAACAGCATGGCTCCCAGGCAGGCAATGATTCAGAGTCAAATTTTATCCTCAAAATTCTAAAGAGGGGGAAGTGACTCCAGGAACTTGTGATTGCCCAGCTGCTGTCTCACTGGCGGTGGTTCCGCATAGCCTGCCTGTCCATGCTCATG